GCTCGTTTAAGTAGACTTGACAACGGCGAGAGTACAAAGGTTGAGCCTCATGACAATTAGGCAAGAGGGAGGTCGATTGCAAGACGTATTAGAAATGGTCATCGGCACCACAGACTGGCATTCGGCGATAAATCTGCAATATTTCGCTGGATGGCCAAATCGCCACAATTTTCTACACTGTTGCGGTGTAGGGATCACCTTTCGAACTTGTAACCGATGTCCTGCTACATAAACTGAGGATGGGAGTTCACGGCTGTCAAAAGTTAAACGAGCCACATTGCTAGGGTATCGTCTCCGCCCGCGGGCAGGAAGAATGTAAGTGTCTATCTTGAGGATTGGGAGATCTTGGAGTTCCAGCTGTTCAAGAATGTCAGTGCCACATGTCTGGAAATTTTGTTGAACTATGGTATGGGGCAGAATGACGGTACCACTACAAGAATTGAGGGAATGATGCTTTTCATAGTTACAGGAACAGTATCGATATGGGAAAGACGAGAAAGCTCATGAGCCTGGGTAGCATTCTGTACGGTGACGATGCGCGTACCGCTCTTAAGAGCATGAAAAGAAATATCTTTACCAACATGGCGTAGGAGTGCCTTGCCAATACTGTGGTCAGAAGATAGGCAGTAGAGGAAGTCGGTCGTAAATGAAGAATTTAGTCCATTGTGCAGTCTGAAACTGAGCGTGGAAAGGTAGTGAAGGACGTGTCGATCTTTTCTGAGAAGAACGAGAAGGTGGAGAAGTATCATCAGCAGGTAATTGTCGTTGTCGTTTAGGCGTGGGACCAGAGTTGGTCTGACGTGGAACGGGCTGGCGATTCGAAAATTGCTGCACCATAGAGGGAGAGGCCGGAAGCATAGTCAGAGGAGATTATTATTATAATCAAAAAAGAAGCGCTAAGCCACAAGGACTATACAGCAGTCAGAGGAGAGCGAAGGTCAGATAAATCGAAGGAGTCAGTCGAGGCCTCAGTAGCTGAAGCGGTGAGGAAACAGCACCGGCAAGAGGTACAGAGGCATGAGGAGTGTCCGAAGAGTGGTCCAAAGACGAGGCGGGGTCAGAACGGGGTGCGGTATCAAGAAGGGGCCCGGGGGTAGCAGGTTCATGGACTAGGGCTGCCATGGTTAGGTTACTTCTTTCTTTTTGTTTTTAAGAAAAAAAAAGAAAGAAAAGAAAATAAAAAAAGGGGGGACCGGGGAGGGATAGTTCCTAGGAGGAATGAAAGGGCCAGAAATCTCCCTCCGTGCCCAAGAGGACCTCAGCACCGCAAGTAGTGCAGATGCAGCATGGAACCCATGCCATACCCTACCCATCATGCCAGTAAACCGGCAATCCGGGATAGCAACCTCACATCTGCCGAGCTACCTCGGTGGACAAAAGAGAGGGCGGCCGGAAATCCGCCACAAAGCATACCTCCTTTGGCCACCACACCCGGAATCTGAAAGGTGGCTTCCAGAGTTACACCCGTCGCCCGAGAGACACCCAAAGCCACCCTCCGGGATCCCTGAGATCACGGCAAACTACGCCACCGCCAAGAACCTCAAGGGAATGGGATGGACCCTGGTACCCTTTCCCCTACCTAGGAACTAGCATGCCTGAGGGGAAAAAAAAAAAAAAAAAAAAAAAAAACCCAAAGGCCAAAAAGGAAAGGAAAGAGGGGAGGATGGGGAGGAGGAGGAGGAAAGGAAAAAGGGGAGGATGGGGAGGATGGGATAGGGAACGGGGGATTGGGGGGTAATTAGGTTCGGTCTGAGGAAGTAGACCGACAGGTCTAATTCCTCAGACCAAGAGCCTCTTCACCACGCCAAGGAGCCCCCCTTGTAGAGGTTAAGGTCTATAAATGATAGGATATCTATTCATAACTTCAGTTCAGCTCGAGCGAATATTTTACAAATCTGTTTTATTGACAGCTAAGAATATCTCAGGTCACTAACTACCAGAACCTGTCAAATTGTATTTCAGTTCAACTCGGGTCAGTATCTCGTTGAACCATTCGTCTATATTTCAACCGAGAGTAAACCAATACGTATAACACTATTATCAATAACTCTGATTAATAGCAATTCGTAATGCCCTTCTATTGTATTTTTGTCTTCCTGATCTGACAGATCACCTGGGGAGATCTGGCAATTGGCATGTTCTTCGGAGAAATGAAGGGACTGTATTCTGAGAAGTTGGAGAAGTTCCCAGCACTACTTGCCCATATCAACAAAGTTGAAAACCTTCCTAAGATCAAGAACTGGATTGCTTCACGCCCCGAAACAAAATTTTAACTTCAGTTCCAGATACTAACGATGACGGCCCGCCAGTGTTCTTAGCCAGACAACGTTTCGCTCCTTCCTAAACCATTATTTCTCAACATTCATGATAACACAATTTAATAATGGTAGAGAAGATGGAAGATACAACACTATGTACAATCTGCTCATTATTATTATTATAATCAAAAAGAAGCGCTAAGCCACAAGGACTATACAGAATCTGCTCATTAAAAACAAAAAGTAATACATTAAAAAAAATGAACACAAGTTTTCTTACCCTTACGTTTTTCGAATTGATTCTGTACTTTCATTAATTTTATATATTATCATTTTATTTTAATACTTTATTTAAACATGCATTTTTTAGCAAGTGAGAAGCATTTAGCAGATAATATAACAGGTTTGTACTGACGATGGGCGATCCACTTCGTACATGGCAGAAACTGGAGCCTTAATGGGTAGTGACGAAGCTGGTGAACATCTGTTGACTAAAATTTGTAACATTTATTTACTTGCTTTCTTACTTCAATCCTTTCATTCTTCCTCCTGCTTTCTTGATATTTTTGATAAATGTATAAATTCTTTACCATTGTTGAAGTTGAATGAGCAAAATATATTACCAAATAACATCTAAGCAAATTCTTTAGTGGCTCTAAAATGTAGAATTATAAGCATAACTAGGCGCTAAACCCGTGAGGTATCAGATGCATGTAGGGGTGTAATTATCTTATTATTATTATTATAATCAAAAAGAAGCGCTTAAGCCACAAGGGCTATACAGCTATCTTAATGTTTATGTAATTCTGATGAAGGGCTCTTGGTCGATGGAGCTGCTCTCCTTGGAGCAAACCTTATTTGCTCCTCTTACCAGTCTTTAGGTGCTGTATGACCCTCACCAGTTTAATGCTTAAACATTAGTATCTAACAACACTGAAATCCCTCTGAAAAACCATCCAGTGGTCAGGCCTCAACATTTCTCACCTCTTCCTGCCTGCCCACAACCACTCTCTGCCGTGTCTTGTTCCACTCTTCCCGAATCTCTTAAGGTCAAAAAATATAAAGGTTCATTACACAACTGTAGTCCCTTAAATCAGATCAACATGCATAAATACAACAGTCCCACTTTCATAGTTTCGTAGACTGCTGCCACAATATTGTTTTGAAAATTGACCATAACACGCAGGTAACACCTTACCACTGGAAATGATTTCCTAAACAGCATTCCTGTCGCCACCATGATGACCAGGCACAAAGGGAGAAGGGCAACGGGGTCACCATGCTTCACACAATATATGCATGTATACATAGTGCTGTAAAGTTTACTTAATGCCTTGTTTACTCACGTGAAGTCTATAGGCTTGAAAACTATCCAGTGGGTAACAGACTGCTTTTATTTCGTGTTCTTGAACAGAGTACAGCAGTATTTTTCACTTTTACAAAAACAGACACGCAGGTGACCATACCTGTCAGTAAGCAACTCACTTTTCGTCAGTTAATCTTTCACATCTCGACAGTGCCACTTGATGACATCACCCAAGTGTGTTTGTCGTCGGAGGAAGATAACACGAAATCTCACGTCTTCCAAGAGGAAAAGTATCATCTACCTCTCAAGCATTATTATTATTAAAATCGAGGGGGAAGCGCTAAACCCGGAGGATTATACAGCACCTGGGGGGGGGGGATGTGGAAGGCATTCAGGCTTAATTAGGAGAACTGGGGCACAGATCCAATTCCCTAAATCAAGAGCCCCTCACAAACAAAGGAACCTTCCTTGAGGTGTCAAGCATTAACGGTGTCAAGTAAATGATTTAACCCTGTTATAAACTACTTATATGGCTTTAAAAAAAAACTCGTGGAACTGACAGGATTGGAACCCACAGCAAGCCAGTTTGGGAACTAACAGTCGACTGCTCTAAACATTGTACTATGCTGGCCCAAGAATAGGCGACCAACTAGGAATTTGTGCACCATGAAATTAAACAACCACAAATGTAGTGTTTAACAAAATCTCGCAGCACTGGCTGTGTAGGGCTCTAGCTCAAGCCCTCTCAAAGCTGGCAAAACCGTAAACACTCATGGAATGGGCAAGTTAATTATATTCTTCCAACTAGGAGGGTACCAGTACACTACCCTAGGAGGGTACCAGTACACCACCCTAGGAGGGTACCAGTACACCACCCTAGGAGGGTACCAGTACACCAACCATGAGGTACCAGTAACACCCAGAGGGACATACACCACCCTAGGGTACAGTCACCACCCTAGAGGTACAATACACCACCTAGAGGGTACCAAACACCACCTCTGGAGGGTCTACCACCCCTAAGGGACCAAAACCGCTAGATAACCATACACACCCTGGGAAAGGGAAACAATACACCACCCTAGGAGGGTACCAGTACACCACCCTAGGAGGGTACCAGTACACCACCCTAGGAGGGTACCAGTACACCACCCTAGGAGGGTACCAATACACCACCCTAGGAGGGTACCAATACACCACCCTAGGAGGGTACCAATACACCACCCTAGGAGGGTACCAATACACCACCCTAGAGGGTACCAAACACCACCCTAGGAGGGTACCAATACACCACCCTAGGAGGGTACCAATACACCACCCTAGGAGGGTACCAATACACCACCCTAGGAGGGTACCAATACACCACCCTAGGAGGGTACCAATACACCACCCTAGGAGGGTACCAATACATTAGACAAGGATAAATACACTAATAATGTATAATTTTTTTATTACAGCTTATATATATATATATTTATGGCGCTTGAACTTTTATAATTCAACTCATTTCCGAGTCATAAGATAACACTTAAATTGAGTTAGAGAAATTTGTATCCAAGTTATTATCCAACACATACCAGAGTTAGATAAAGTTTTCTAAGTTAAATACCAAGTCAGCTAAGAGATAAGTTCTCTAACTCATATGCACATTACTGTGACTTGGTTGTTCGTTACTGTGTAACGAAATATAGTTTAACAACGGCTGGAATAAGGTCTAATTAAGGAAAAAAAAAACAGTATAATAAATGCAGTGTCAAGTATTAGAGATTTTCAGAGACTGAATAAGAGATATGGCCAATTTTCCTCCTTCCCCCCCCTCACACAGGCTAAGAAAAGTTATCTGGGCTTACTACAAAGTCCATCTTATCTGTGGCATACTAACTCCCTGGGATATGACTCCCAGCAGTCGACTAACACCTTTGTACTTACTGCTAGGTGAACAGGGGCAGTTGATACAAGTAAATATGCACACTTTCCTCCTGTGCCTCGAATTTATCAACGGACCCTCAACATGGGAGGAGAGTGCTTCCAACAGAGCCCCATGTCCTAGACAAATATTTCTTAGAGATCAAATTAAGGAAAATGTATATACTAAAAAGCCATTGGAACCCACAAAAAAAAAAAAAAAAAATTACAACAGAATGAGACATTTTTGATACAGCAGCGCGCTGAATGTTATGAACACAGGTGTATAGCAGATTTTGTCAACGTTTAAGGTCTACAGAACGAAAAGTGTGAGGACGAAATAGTCATGCTTTATATTTTGTGGTTGTGACAAAAAAAACTAGGAAAACCATATCGGGAAGACCTCCGAAGGTCTAGAAGACAGACACCCCTAGCCTAGAAGGTCTCTTCAGGTCCCTGGGAATCGTTCCACTGTTTGATTTTGGGAATCTGTAAGATCTTGTTGACGTGAGCTTCAACAGCTGGGAATCCCTTCAGTATTTCTGGCTGTTTCATTTTCAGTCCTCCAAACATCAGTCCGATTGCCAAGTCAGCCCACGTCACCTGTGAAGCAGAACAGAGGTATGAAGTCTCAAGCCATAGCTCGGCAGACAGACCAGGGAATCTATCACTAGAATTCACGGATTGAAATCAGACATTTGAGAACAAATACACATGGGAGAAAAAGTATTTGCCGGGACAACGTTTAGCTCTGAAGAGCTTTATTGCCATTAGTTTATAAAGCTCACAAAAACGATGCGGGTGACCAAGAATTAACGCATAAATTAGAGGCACAGGCTAGAGGCAGTGTCAATTTCCGATGTGCTGATTGGGCTCTGGAAACTTAGATGTGGGCATTGACTTTAAGTTTTGGTATACATGCATATACAAGAGAAAAAAGTAAGTGAATCATTTACTTATTACTAAGAGATGAATGAATTTAAATGCAATTCTTTTTTTAAAACTGTTTCGCCTATGCGTGGGTTTTCAAGTCTTGTTGACTATAGAAACCGCCTGAACGAAACTTTGGTAACAATCACATTTTACTGAATTGGCTTTAACTTTTTTCTGTTAAACTATTACTATTATTACAACAGGAAAGCACTAAACTCATAAGGTGGTCATTCAACACTGGGAATAGTGGCTAATCAGATTAGCTTCAAGCTAAAGGAGGGTAACTCGTATCCTGGACGAAGAGCCCTTCACCAGCCACGAGGAGTCTCCAAAGGACTGACTCCTTTACGACACAAGATGAAATTTCAACATGTCTAGTGGATCACCGATATTTTAATTAATATACAAATTATGAATTCATTATTTTTCAACCAACTTGTATTCCACCGAGGCAGGGTGATCCAAAAAGAAAAACTAGTTTCCCTTAAAATTTAGCAGTGGGGGTTATTAGCCCCTTGCTCCCGGCATGTTAGTCGCTTCTCACTACACACATGGCTTACGGAGGAAGAAATGTTCCACTTCCCCCATGGAGAATTATACAAAAGCTATATCTGTAAGAGTTTCAGTAAATTGCTAGTGTTCCCACTGTGCAACTTTTATGGAATGGGGAAGCAGCATATTGCAGATGCCTTCAATTTCGCTAAATAGTTATATTAACTGCTAAACTTTAGTGTCATACAGGTAAAATTTCGCATAAACAAGAAGCTCTGACCTTGTCTACAATGAACCATTCTCTCTTAGAGAGTCGTTCGTTAAGTCTGACCAAGACGGGAGCTATCACATTGGGGTACAACTCCTCCTTGTAAGTTTTCTTCTTCTCCTCTTCGTCTCCTGCAGCGGCGAACCTAGGACAACAGATATCAGTACTATTACTATTATATAATTAGTATTTAAGAACGTAAGAATGGAGGAACACTGCAAAAAGCCTATTTGCCCATAATTATTATTATAATCAAAAACTATAAAAAACTACATACCTACGACACACATCAAACCCAGCCTCTCCCATTCATACATTTCTCCAATCTTTTTAAAACTACCCAAGGTCCTAGCCTCGATCACCCTACTGGGAAGATTGTTCCATTCGCGACTGCATTTAATACTACCGATTATTTTCACATTTATGGGGAAGCGCTAAGCCCGTAAGGTTCATACAGCGCCTGGGGAGACTAGGGAAGATATATTTGATCCAAGGAAGGGAAGAATAGATTCCAGTCCTTTAATCAATAACTTCACCAGAATGATGAATCTTCTTCAGAGGGATTAAATGCCGAAACAATACTTTAACTTGTGAAGCGGTAAACTCCTGCGGGTCGGTCAGAGTAGGGTAGAGGCTCGATCCTCCGTCCGTTAATCCCAAGAATTAGGACAGGCACAATGTAACTGAAATTTACTTACATAGTCTTGTAAACTTGAACCATCATTTCCGAGAGTGTGTCGACCAGGGCGTCACAGACAGCAGCGTCGAAGTCATCGTCGGGGACCAGCTTTGCCTGCTTGGCCAGGTAGCGGGCGATGGCCAGGGATTCGGGTAACTGTTTACCATCCACCATCAACACTGGTAACTTGCCTCCCGAGATACCTGTGGGTCAGCTACACTAGTGAGCAGTGTATTTTTATTATGCTATATACGCACCCTACACAAATTAATATACATACAGATGCATACATACGCATGTACAGGTACACAAATTTACATTACAAATTATACACTAACTAGTTATTTAAAGGTTGTTTTTCAAACATAGCCCGTCGTGAGCTCTTTCAGTCTCGGAATTTGAGAAGAGCATACCAGAAGGTGACCAAGTGTATTGTACACACCTGGATGAGAGCAGATATAGGCTCCTTTTTTACTTTAAAAATCAGACTGGGTGATGAATCCATTCCTAGACATCAGGGATGTTGGAGTAAGAACCGATTTCACCTCAAAATGACAATGAGCAGAGGCCAAAGTTTAAATAAAAAAAATTGACCGCTACCTGCACTGTGAAACAAAGTTAAAATACTTTATTGCCTTTCAACTTTTATTTAGTAGAGACTTCAGTGCATCGCCAAGATTCTTTCCGAGAGAAGAAAAAATTATTGAACGTGAGGATCTAAAACTTTAGTGCCTTCAAGACTAATGTTGAGAAGCTGAAGTTTCTGCACGAAGCATCAATTAAAACTGAAGACAATGTAGTTACAGACGAGATTTAAATTATCCTTCCATATTGTTAAATTGGTTTAATGTTAACTTTTATTTGAGAGATATGCTAATTTAGTGTTAGATTAGTTTTGAATTTGCAGTAAACCAAATACCAAGGAGTGTTCGTGTGTGTGTGTGTGTGTGTGTGTGTGTGTGTGTGTGTGTGTGTGTGTGTGTGTGTGTGTGTGTGTGTGTGTGTGTGTGTGTGTGTGTGGGGGGGGGGTGGCCTGGGGGGCGGCAGCCTGAAGTTTGGGAACCGCTGCCCTAGATCAATAGCTGACAATCTATTTTATAGGTGAATTTTCCTTAAACTTTAGGCAAACCATGCAACTAATTGACTTAAATAAATTAAGAATAAACTGCTTAATCACAGATTTCAGCTTCCTATAAACTTGTTAATTCTCCCTTCATTAAGGATGGTCATCAGAATATCGTCAAACCTAAGTGTCTTAACACCTGTTTTATTTCTTAATACTCACCATCTTAACACCTGTTGTATTTCTTAATACTCACCAGGTTTACGAGAAGGCCAGTCTGCCTTCGGGATGCGCTCATCCGTGTAAGGAATGTTACCATACGCGCAGATCCAGCGGGCCAGCTCAGCACGACCTCTGCTATTGAAGTAGATCAACTGTACTCTGGCATGGTGAGGACTGACAACTCTGTAAGCGACCAGGAGGTCAGGTTGTAGAATGTACAAGGACATTAAAAGATTTTCTGTGAAGATATGGAAATATTTCGTTACACCGAGTTAAGGTTACAAGTTGCAAAATACAGGTATTATGGCATTTGTATATTGGACGCGAGATCTGTTTAAGAGAATTATTTAACAGTATTACGAGCAGCAATTCAAGGTAAACTCTTGAATCACAGTAGCTATACTCTTCCCAGTTTAATAAAAGTAAAATAAAATGGACAAGCCTAGTCTGGAGCAACGTGGCCCCAGTATGCTTCGCCTGTGAACAATACTCAGACTGTTGGGCAAGGCTTAAGAGGTCTAAAATTTTATACCCAAAAGTTGAAAAAAAGATGTAAAGGCAGAAATAAAAAAACCGACTTCAGACAGCTGCAGCTCCCGAAGATCAAGCCAGACCCAAAAAAATGAACTTCCACAAAGCCAGGGTAATAGGAAGCAGTCTTAATGGCGTTTTGGACAGGAACAGTTTAAAGCATTCGTAGTGCACAACACTACGAATGCTCATGAACGGCACGTGCTACAGTGTATTCTAAGCTGTGCTACAACATCCGTTGGAAGAACAGAGTTAGGAAAAACTAACTTCTACCCTGCCGCGGACACCACAGTACCAAGATGGCCTTCATTAGTTAGAATCCGTAGCCAATCCCTGGTTCCCAGGGGCACTACACGAGCAAGGAATTAGTCAGCAGACAACGGGAGTCGAGACGACACCAAACCTATCTTGAGAAGCAGACAAGAACCGAAGGACCAGCAGCGTACGCTTAAGTAGCAAATGTATTACTAATAGTATTACTAATAGTATTACTAAATTAATGAGGAACCGCTAATCTCTTAAGGGTCATATAGCGTCTGGGTACTAGAGATAATCCGGTTTGATCCGAGGAAGAGAAGGGTAGCCTATGCAATGCATCAAGAGCCTCTTGCAAGTATCAAGGCACAAATAACCCGTACATAGAGGAGCTTACGACTACGTTTCGGTTCGACTTTTACCATTTTAAAGTCACCCTAACAGAGGTGGGAGGAGTATACATGCAAGCTTATACTCCTCTTTGTTAGTGCAACTTTGTAAATGGTCCAAGTCGGACCGAAACTTCGTAAGCTTCTCCAATGTGCGGGATATTTGTATTGTTCAAGACACGGTATTGTGCCTTACTTTGTCAAGTATCAAGGAATTGTATTTATACGCCACACACCCAAGGGCCATCGATGACAAAGTTAAGTCTGGCAAACAGGAAATACTTTTTTCTTCTAAGAGGGGTAGCAAGTAGAGAAAAATAAGGGCCCTGGAGGCAAATACCATCCAGTTTCAGTAGGTATGATAGGCCCAAGAACACGCCCAAGAACACGAAGTGTGTTCTTGCGGCCAGCAGTAACAGCCTGGTTGATCATGCCCTGAACCACAGGGAGGCCTGGTCGCGGACCGGGCCGTGGGGCCGTTGATCTGAATAACCTCTAGGTAGACCCCTCAAGCAAACTTGCACCTTCCATTCTCCTTTCCCAAGGACAAAATGCCAGCGTCACTACATTCGAGTAAACAATTTTAAACACATTGATCCTCAATATTGTGATGCAGTTCAGATGGGATTGTGAGGTCTCTAGGGAGACCTAATTATATGGTCACACCTGCCGTAGCAAATGTCGGGTAGTCACGCCCACGTCTGAGGTCTCACAATATTAGCTTCCATCACCAAGAATGTAAAGGTGTTGTGATTAAATTTAAATCTCACTCAACAGACTCATTCTTATCCTTGGGACGTAATACGTAAAAACACTGGCATTGTTGCACATTTCTTAGCACGAGTCTTCGCCCTTAAGGCAGGATGACTTAACTGTTTCCCAAGCTGCCTGCCGCTTTGCTTGGCTACTAGTTAACTGCTTTCCAGCTACTTGTTTGCCTACCTTACTTTCCTTGGCTGCAACTTGCGAGTTCAAATGAAAAATATAACTCGTTAAATACCATAACTGAGAACTTAAATATATCTCGTACCATGTTACCAGACACCGAAAAAATATCTTGGTAATATGTTGCAATTATGAAACTGCTAATTTTTATACATCTTCGTTAAGTGTGCATACACAATTTAAAGAAGTTTTCTTTAAATTTTTGGATTTAGAAAAGGCATACGATATAGGAGCAAATGGTAGATGCTGCAAGTGTATGAATAGGTAGGTTACCGAAAGCAGTTAAGTGTTTTTACGAGGATAGTGAAGCTCAGGTTAGAGTATATAGGGGAGAGGAAGATTATTTTTTCAGTAAAAGTAGGCCTTAGTGATACGTGATGTCAACATGGTGGTTTAATATTTACAGATGGTGTTGTAAGAGAATGCAGAGTTGTTGGGGATGAGCGAGATCGGAAGATAAATCTAACAGTGGGATTTTCAGTTGCATTTTGCTGACGAGTGCTTCTGGGAGATACCGAAGAGAAGTGGCAGAGGTTGGTGGACGAATTTGGGAGGGTATGTAAAAAGAAATTGAAAGTTAATACAGGAAAGTGCAAGGTGATGAGGGGTAACAAAGTATCTAATGCAATGGTTTGCATTAATTCTGTAAATTGGTCAGAGGCCAGAGTATTGGTTCCTTGCTGCTCTTTGCTTTAACAAATTTTTTATAGAATAGAGTTATATGAATGTTCATCATAGTTTTTAATAATAGTGGTAGCTTATTCAAACTAATTTTATAATTGAAGGTACTGTAAGTTTATTCAGGTATACACATACAGTTACATAGAATTATCATACATAGCAGCATATGTGTAGAGAACAGTCTTAAGCAGGATTCCTGCATGAACATATTGGATTGTTATAAATGCGGCTCTTCACTGACGAAGGTTGTGTCCTTTGCTACTTCCAGTCAACCTTATGGAAAAACCAGCATTTACCCGATGAATTAGGAGAGCCTCTGGAAATTAGAGGGTTTTACCTTTCTGTTGCTTCCCCATTTTCTTTGTATGTAGTGGAGTGTTCCCGGCTGATCTCAGCTGCTGGGTTTAGCCTGGCGTTTTCTGTTCGACTGAGGACACTTCTCCACTGCTACTCTATTTATTTATTTATTTATTAACAATTTGAGCATACATACAGAGGTACAAAAAAATACAGACAAGAGCAGCATGCCAAAGCCACTTATACTACGCCTGTCCTATCTTCCTGCCCATCTCATAAGGATTCTTACCTAATTTATCTTATCTTATCCCAAGTGATAGATTCCAGATACCTTTTGAGATTAGATTTAAGTATTTTATAATGATTTGATATGAAGTCTGAAGGCATACGTGTGAAAGTTGTCACTAATGTTGTGGTCGCCATGTCATTACTAAATATTTAATGCTTATGTGATGCTATATGCCTCTACTGCTAATGTCTTAATGTCTTAATATCTTGTCTTCATCTTCACGGCACCAGGTAATGTTCTGTTTGATGCCATATTCTAGCCAGAATTGTTCCCTTGAGCGCTTCTACCTGAATTTCCTGCGCATTGCAAGCTCCTGATGTGTTGATTTGCAACACGAAAGGCTTAGAGCTATCTTTCAGTTCTCCGCCCCCCTGGTCTTTTTGCATCGTGTGTGTGTGTGTGTGAATATATAACAGTTATGCAAGTTATTTTAAAGCAAAGAACAATACTACAACAGGCTGGGAATCGAACTTGGGACTTGTCGTTCCAAACTTCCCTATCACCAGAGCACATAACACTAGGTATCCATTAATATCACTAGACATGTTTCCCCTATAGCCTCCCGCAATCGGGAAAGTGGTGAAAGTAGGCTCAGAAAATATTCTTACTCCAGTTTGGGCACCAACAGTTTTTGAGAAAACCGTATTGCATATACAAATAGTGGTGATGGTCCCAGTTGCAGATCGAAATGTATCGACTCGTCCTCCTATTCGTATTTCTGTCTCCACTTGGATCAAGCTGTAAACAATACCTGAAAATAAAAGCTATTATAGTTGAAATGGATATAAAAAGGAGAGCTTACTAGTAAAGAGACAGCAGCGAGGGTGTTGGTGGTAGGGAGGCAGCTGGCAGAGTGAGGCGGGTGCAGCAGACATCACCACCAATACACATTGTTCACAGCTGCAAAGTCATCGTGAGTCGAGTAAACAGCGGCCCGCCTTCCTCCATTTAAGCTGAAACTTTAAGTATTTTGGGGATTAAGTTTCGGCTTAAGACATGAAATATAAATTCGGTATATTTTCTTTAATGCAAATAAAGTTGTTAATGATAATTTCCGACTTATGGACTACAGAATGAAAAAGAGCAAAAAGCGTGAAGTATGGAATCACTCTTGGAGAACCAATCGTATTTTTTCACTAGAATAAACCTTAAGTAATGAAAACACGGAACGGGTGGAGACTGAACCCATGACAAGTAAGTCGTAAAACCCCTACCCTTTCCGTGGGCTGTTTGTAATCGTGTTATTACGATTCCTTAGAAATAGATTTTTTTTCCTCATAAAACTCGCTGCAACTTAAAGCAATGTTAATTTTGCAGTACATTAGCCCTTTTACTGGAGATTCAGTCATTCTATATTTTTCCTGAGACAACACAGTATTCATCAACGATGTCTCTTTCCGGGAAAACCTGACCAGGACTTCGGGACAGGAGTTTCAAACCGGGACAAACCCGGTCGAAACGAGACGTGTGGTAAATCGAAACTTAAATCTTAAGTCAAAACTCAAGTCTAGGTGTGAACACGCTGCCAGGTGAAGTCCTATGTAGCTATAATAATAGACTTGCCAATATTTCTGTAGGGTTTGTTTTGGGCAGGACATACCTAGCACGGGGCAGTAGGTATACAACAATGGTTATTTTTTCGAGTACACCTGACCTGTTTATTATTTTGAGTAACATCTGCATCAGGGATGCATTTCTCCTGGTGTAGAAATCACCGACATTTGATAGCCAAATCCAGCACAACTGTCAACCGGCCCCTCACAGGCAGCTGCAGACCCTCAACCCACCCACCCACTTCCTCACCCCACTCTACTCCCCACCACTCTAGCCAGCCCACTCATCCATCCCTTCCCCGCCTCCGTTAACGACAACGAGTGAGTCATCGGCGTGTCTGTGCAGTGTGCACGGTGCACATGGCCGCAGTGTTCGTCAGACCCCCCACCGCATCGCATCTTGCCGAACCACACCTCAGACACCAGCTTCCAGAGACCACAAGCCGCCTTGTAAGTAGTCAAGGTATTCTTGAGATTAATGCCTCTCTCTTTAAGGACGAAGGGTATTCTTTGGGGTTAGAACCCATGGGGTTAAAACCCCACCCGTTCTTTGGTTTGCAATCGTTTTATTAAGATTTCGTGAGTCGGGATTCCTTGATACTATTCCAGTTATGGATGCACATACGCTGCGATATACACTTATCGGTGTGTCGTGAAAACTACTGAGGCTGTGGTAAAGGACAGTAAGATGGCGGACGGTAGCCACTGACACAAGACACAGCAGCGGTTTCTGTGAAACTTTCTCATCAGTAGACCCCTAGCTCAGCGGTAAAGCGCTAGACCTGTTAATCTCGGGACCACGGTTCGAGATCCCACGTTACCTGAACCCAGTTACAGTGCAAGCATATTTAATAGATATTTTTTGCCCAAATTATGCCTTATATTATTTCTCAAACCTTTTAAATAAAAAATATAACTTTACAAACTTTTATTGGTTTATTAAATACAAAATTTTTGTTTGTTTAAGATCTTTACAAAGTTTACCCTTGAGTATTAGTCCTTTGTTGCTAGTAATAGGTGTTCTGATCCAAGGATTGGAGCTACAGTTCCCTTTCTGTAAGTCCGATTACCTTCCATTGCCCTGTGTGACCCCCATCAGGTTTAGCTCTTCTCGGTGATATTCTAGATCCCTTCAGAGCTAATAAAATCAGTTGATGTTTGTGTTTCGGATGATAATGGATTCAGGATGGAACGAAAGAACCTTTAATTTTACCTTGAGTTTTTGTTTTTGTTGTAAATGGTTTTTAACCAGGAATAAGTGTGGTGTATTCCGGGGGTCAACGCCCCCGCGGCCTTAGAAACTACGACACTCCTCTCCCCAACACTAACCTCCCTCGTTCGCGATGGGAAACAGCTGTGCGTTGGTGTGTGGTGGATAGACTAAAGGTGTGTGGGATAATTTATATGGGGAATGCCGGGGAGGCACGGATGGTTAATTCTGGGAGGGCAGTGGATAGGTTGGTGGGTAGATTAAATGTTTTGAGACCCATGCATTTGACGATACATCAACGTGTAATAGTGGTGAATGTAATGTTATATAGTATGGTCTGGCATGTGGCAGCAGTATATCCGTTGGCAGGACCGGACATAACAAGAATGCTAAAAAAGGTTTTTCGTTATATTTGGGGTTCTGGGTGTGACTGGTTGGGTAGGAGTGTTGTTATGCTACCGGTCGACAAAGGTGGATTGGGTTTAATAGATATAAGATTAAGGGTTAAGTGTATATATTTGAAGAGGGGGTTTCTCCGAGTGGAAGGTCGTGTGGGGAAGGGTGTGCAAGCATTATATGAGGAGGTACGAAGGTGGTGGGTAGGATCAGAGATGAAAGAGTGTGAGGATGTGCTTCGAGCTTTATTGTATGTTAGAGATCCGTCTAGGATGCGGGTAGGTGTTCTGGAGCATGCTGTAGGGGTGAGGGTGATTGCAAATGTTGAGGGCATATACCCAATGTATGCATGGGGAGACATTTGGGTAAGGTTGCGGTTGGTGCGCATCAGACCAAGAGTGAGAGAGGTAATGTTTCGTTTCCTTCATGGAATATTGCCGTCTGGTGTGGTGCTTCGGGAGAGAGGGTTGATGGTGGAGGATGTATGTAGGGCGTGTGGGGATAGGGAGACAGCTTTTCATGTAGTATATTTTTGTAAAAATTTTGAGTGTATACGGGAGTGGATGGGTGGGATTTTGAGGAGGGTGGGTGGGGGAGGGATATCGGTATTAAGGGCATTGAGTTTAGATGTGGGAGGTGTTTTCGTATCATGGGCCATGAGGGGTAATGGGGATTGGGTGATACGAAGAAGGTATTGGCTGCAACAATGTACAAAACACTTAGTCGTAATAGGGGGATATACGGAAGTAGATGGGAAAGGGCTTTTCCTGAAGGATATCGAAGTATGAATGTCAGAGGTTTGTTGGTGGAGTGAGGAAAAAAAAAGGGGGGGGGGGTTGTGTTAGGAATTTCAGGGGTTGCACCGGGCTCGTCTCAGAATTTGGGAACGTATGAGGAGTCCTTGATATGGTGTGAAATGGCAGCGTAGTTGTGGAGTGTGTTTTAAGTAAGTTTGTGGTGGTTCGTAAGGGAAAAGTTAAGATTTTTTTGGACATGGAAATGAGCAATATTTGTGTGAATGTGAAAAGTATACGGTCATACTCAGGATGGTTTACTGATGTATGTTATGGATAAGTTAAATTTGGAATATGTTGTAATGTATTATCAGGACTGGTGGTTGTATTAAAGCACAGGACATACGGGCGTGATAAATATGTCTGTGTACCAAATGTACTGCTAATAATGAGATAATGAAATGTGTGTGATTTTTATCATACATTAAATGTATATAGCAGAATGTAAGAGAGAATTTCATGTACTCAGTATGGGTTGTATACTAGTATTCGGTGAAGTTCGATGAATATTATTGACGAGTGATGGGTATGTAAGGACGTGTTCATGTACAATGTGTTAAGTAGGGTTAGGATGGTGATGCAAGAAATGCTGCGGTTACCTGGAGGCTTACCTGGAGGTTATTCCGGGGATCAACGCCCCCGCGGCCCGGTCCATGACCAGGCCTCCCGATGGATCAGGGCCTCATCAACCAGGCTGTTACTGCTGGCCGCACGCAGTCCGACGTACGAGCCACAGCCCGGCTGATCCGGCACCGACTTTAGGTATCTGTCCAGCTCTCTCTTGAAGGCAGCCAGGGGTTTATTGGCAATTCCCCTAATGCTTGATGGGAGGCTGTTGAACAGTTTTGGGCCCCGGACACTTATGGTGTTTTCTCTTAGTGTACCAATGGCGCCCCTACTTTTTATTGGGGGCATTTTGCATCGCCTGCCCAGTCTTTTACTTTCGTAGGGAGTGATTTCTGTGTGCAGATTTGGGACCATTCCTTCCAAGATTTTCCAAGTGTAGATTATGATATATATCTCTCCCTCCTGCGTTCCAACGAGTACACGTCAAGTGCTTCCAAGCGTTCCCAGTAGTTAAGGTGCTTGACAGAACTTATACGTGCAGTAAAGGATCTCTGTACACTCTCTAGATCTGCGATTTCACCTGCTTTTTTATGGAGATGTTAATGTACAGCAGTATTCCAGCCTAGAGAGAACAAGTGATTTGAAAAGGATCATCATGGGCTTGGCATCTCTCGTTTTGAAAGTTCTCATTATCCATCCTATCATTTTCTTTGCACGTGCGATCGTGGCACTGTTGTGATCCTTGAAAGTGAGATCCTCAGACATTACTACTCCCAGGTCCCTTACATTATTTTTCCGCTCTATTGTATGGCCGGAGTCAGTAGTATACTCTGTTCTAGTTATTATCTCCTCCAGTTTTCCATAACGGAGTAGTTGGAATTTGTCCTAATTGAACATCATATTGTTTACCGTTGCCCACTGGAAAACTTTGTTTATATCTTCTTGGAGGTTAAGTTAACCGCGTCCTCAGCAGATGACAGCCTCATGCAGATCCTAGTATCATCCGCAAAGGATGATACGGTGCTGTCTGTAGAATAAGAATATAGTACTTGTTTAAGTTAATGTTTAATAGTAATGACTATGTATATTTTATTATATGGTAGAAGAAGTTTGTTACTTAAAAATGGAAATTATATTTGCAAAATATTACTAAATATACGTGACTGTGTAAGTTCGCTTGTAGGATGATGTAGTGTTTGTTCACTTGTGGGATGGATGTAGTGTATGGAAGTGAGGTGGGACGAATCACTTGTTATATTGTACTGTGTTTAGTTTTTCTGTGGTGAGGTGTGGAGATTGTTATTTTCTAACCCTTATTTGTTTCGTAATTTATTGAGGTGTTATGTATTATGTATTTGTATATGAAGTTTAATATACAACAATAATAAGTGTGTAAAGAATTTTTGGATAATTGAGAATGTCTTCGTACATACAGTTTTATGTAAAAGGTCAATACCTGTGACATTCTTTGGGTTATATTGCATATTGTGTTTATGGCTGCAATTTTGGATGTAATAAACCCACCTGTATTTGAAGCTGTGGGCTGTCTTTAGTTTAGTTAAATGTATGTTATGTGTGATGGTTGTTTTTTTTTTTTGGGGGGTGGGGGGTATCAAACTTTTTTAGTTGAACGTGTGTTTTATGTATAAGTTTAGTGCTACGGTAGGGAATGTGGAGTTTTCTTTTGTTATATATAATGGATACGTTTCATTGCTTACATTGTCTACATGTATAACTATGTATTGCGTTTTTCAATAAAATATAAAAAAAAGACCTCCCTCGTTCCATCCTCAATCATCACCTACACTCCTCCTCTACACTAACTTTCCTCTTCCAATCTTCCACAACACTAAACTCCCTCACTACATTCTCCACCATCACCCACTTCTTCCCAGCATTCTTCTGATGGTATCACCACAGTCTGGTACCACCACCACCACCACCACCGCAGTCCAGTACCACCAGGTCTTCGTCTCGCCCAACCACTCGCCTCACCAGTATATCACCAATTACACCAATTGCACCATTATCACCCCAGTTCTCTCACTACCTTCCTTCCCACACCCGCATGTCTCGCATTACACTGCCTCCTCCATCCCTATCTTATACCCATCTTCCAGCCCCACCTTATACCCATCTTCCAGCCCCACCTTATACCCATCTTCCAGCCCCACCTTATACCCATCTTCCAGCCCTACCTTATACCCATCTTCCAGTCCTACCTTATACCCATCTTCCAGCCCCATTTTATACCCATCATCCAGCCCCATTTTATACCCATCATCCAGCCCCATTTTATACCCATCTTCCAGCCCCATTTTATACTCATCTTCCAGCCCCATTTTATACCCATCTTCCAGTCCCATTTTATGCCCATCTTCCAGCCCCATTTTATACCCATCTTCCAGCCCCATTTTATACCCATCTTCCAGCCCCATTTTATACCCATCTCCCAGCCCCATTTTATGCCCATCTTCCAGCCC